AATGAATCTAAAAATCAAGTGAATAAAAAATCTGATGAACAGAATAAACTGGTGAATATAATAGAATCAGGGGCATAGAAAGGGAGTGGACTGACAATTCTCGTGGGGGAAGGGGTGTGGGGGTGCGTGAAGAGACTGGACAAAAATCGTACACCTATGGATGAGGACAGTGGGGGGGTGGGTAAGGGCAGAGGGTGGGGTGGGAACTGGGTGGAGAGGAGCTATGGGGGGGGGGAAGAGGAACAACTGTAATAATCTGAACAATAAAGATTTTTTAAAAAAGTAAAAGCAAACCTAAAAGCCTCAAGTTTCAAACATTTGCACCAGAGATTCAGGCATGCTCCCCTCCCAAGCCCCTGCACCCCCACCTCTATGGTAACAGACACGGTTGAAACTGAACTGTAATTTGGCACACAACATTTCTATACTAATGTAATGTGACAATGTTATGATGTTTGCTATTTTCCATATAATCATAGCCATATTCATCATCCCCAACCTGATGTTAAATTAATTAATATAGTTACATTCTATTCTGGACCAATGGGTGAAAGCAGAAAAGGATTATTGGAGCATAATGGTTTGATGATGGGGTGTGTGTTTGTGTGTTTGTGTGTGTGTGTGTGTGTGCAAGCATGTATAGGTGACAGGTAGACTTTATATAAGGAATGTAAACTCTCAGAACTGGCATATAGCAAGCACTCTATAAGTGATTACATCCAAAAGGAAGTTCACAAATAGCTACAATATGTGGAAAGTACAAAAACTGTTTCTCTTTTAGAAGAGGGAAAGGTAATGCTCATCTCAGAAGACCAGCGAAGTTTCCAGTTTAAGTCGAGACTGAAAATGAAAACAGAATTCTTTCAGCGGATAGAGTGAAAGGAATGGATTCTGGGTAGAAAGAGTGCATTCTCCAAGAGAAGAAGTTAGCACCGACAATGGGGAGGAGAATGGGAAAGTGTCATGTTGTTCAGAAAGCCATAGGTAAGATCATTGACAGTAACATGTCTCATGGACAAGGTTCTGCAATAGATAAAGATGAAAATGAACGCTGGGGTCAGACCATGGAGGTTCATGAACTCCGAACTGATGATTTTGGAGCGTGTTGTTGGCCACTGAGGTGTACTAGAAATCCTTATATAAAATTCATTCACCTAGTCCACTTTGATTTAGTGAGTTACTATGATCAGCACTTACATGCAACACGATATGAAAACACTGGGCTTATGAGCCAAAAAGATAAAGAATATTGTCCCTGAACGAAGCATATAGTCTTACAGGGAGATAAGACCAAACATAAATAACTATAAAGTAGAGAGTGATGGCTGATGAAACAGCATTAACAAAACCCCATAGAATTCAGAGGAGGAAAATATCGTCTCTAGTCAGGAGAACCAGGAAGAGTGGGTGATATGTCAAATAGGGCGAACAGGAAGGAAGAACTGGTATGGAGGCATGGGGTGAACTGGAGGAGGGAGGTATAAGAAGTGAAAAACTCAAACTGCAGATTACTACAATAACCAGAAAAAAATAATATTGGGTACCTAAACTATGGCATTGATATGAAAGAATTGAGGAATTCAGTACACTACACTCACACTTGTGCACACACCCATACACACTCACAGCAATTGTTTTTGTCAACAAGTTGGCCATTTAGATGGCAATTTTCCAGGGAAGAAAGGCTTCTACAAAGTTTTCTTTAGAAGTAGACTTTTCCATCATTTGCCTAAGTCTCTTTTTTTGAAAGATTCAAGTTCGTTAATTAGTATGATTTATCCAAGATTACAAGTACAAGCTAAAAAGTATTCCCATCTTCCCATTGTAAATTGTATCTCCAGGCTAACATAAATAAAATGTTCTAGTTATTCTTACCACTCTATGAATCTTATCAGAGAGATGACATTTAGGTCTATTGGAGGATATGGGGGGAGCGGATCTCTTTTGCAATGGGGTGTGCTTTTGTTCTTTCCTCTTTTGAAAAGTTTTATGTCTATTTTCCTTTTTTGTTTGTTTTCTATGCAGTTGAAGGCTGCAGTCACAGAATTTATGAATACATACCTAAGTTGAAAATAATAATTCCATTAAGAAATGAAATGCCCTAAGTTGATTTTTTAAAGTCAATCTCTATACAGAAAAAGTTTTTTAAAATTCCAGGAATCACACTAATTCTATTTGTGCAATTATAAAGAAACAATGAGATAGAGAGAAAAGGCTGATTTTGATCAATTTAAAAAGTGAAGAAAATGTGTCATGCTACTTTTACAGTTACTATTGTACCTTTTACAAATTATAGTTCATATGAAAATAAGATTTGCTTTTAAATATTCATTTGTACCTCCATATCCTCACTACCAAAACTCCGAAGTACAAACCAAGAAACTCACATTTCCAGAAAACCCACTAAGAGGTAATGATTTAATCAAAATGCATGTATTTTCAGAACCCTCCAAGTAATTTTCATGCTGATTCGTATAAGAGGCATATCTGGAGACACAGTTATTGGATGACATTTACCTTATTTACAAGAAAATAACAAATAGCCTTATCATTGGCATCGCCACTACTATCACCCAGAGCTGCATTCAAATAATTTTCTGTAAAAATGATTTGAAGACAGCATGATACTTAAAGTAGGATCTCGATGTTCCTTTAGGAAATGTCTAGCAAATAGATACAGAAAATTATATTCTTCCTACTTAACCAGTATATGAGAATACACAATCTGACACAACCAAATGGCAACTGTTTTATAAAACATATAAACTAGATTAAGCAAAGTTTGGCAATGAAAGTTCTTTAGCAAAATGAAAAACATTTCCATGCACAAAAGCTCTCTCAGCTAGCACATGTGATCACATATCTGTCAGGATCAAGCAAGCTTAAAACTTTGCCTTAATAAAAGCATAACAAATTATTAGTCTTCTTGTTGTCCTTGAGCATAAGTTTATGTTATTTTTCTATGGAAGTTACTATTCTATCTAATAAAGAGGGAATATGCTAATTGACCCTCACACCGTTGCAAAGATGGTGGCACCCACAGCCGATAAGGAAGGAATATGCTAATTGACTGCCCCACCCTCAAAGATGGTGGCGCCCACAGCCACAAGATGGCGGCACCCAGTCCCCTCAGCTCCGCTGGAGCAGCAGGCGCATGGCACGCCTGCCTCTGGAGTCCTCCAGTCCCCTCAGCCCACCAGCCACCCAGGGCCAGCCCGAGGCACAGACACACCTCAGATGTCGGCTGCCCAGCCACTCAGGGCCGGCCAAGGCTTGCACTGCTGGCAGTGGCAGCAGCAGAGGTGTGATGGGGTGTTGCCTCCCGCTCCTGAGGGCTTCCGGACTGTGAGAGGGGGCAGGCTTGGCTGAGGGACCCCTGCCCTTCCTCCAGTGCATGAATTTTCATGCACCGGGCCTCTAGTATTTATATATCTTTATTAAAATCATCTATAAGTTATTTGCTTTGCTTTATGTACATATAAGTACTAAATCTTATGTAAGGTTATTCATATAACCCCAAATGAGGTGGTTTGTGTGATTTGATTGTAGAAATACACTGTTTGCAAATGTGTGAAAGTTTACTTGAAATTCTATGAAAGATGTCACCGGTAAAATGGAGACTAAATATTTCTCCATCTATGGTGGTGTGATCTCTTCCAGGTACTATTTTACTTTTCATTAATTGCTTGTTATACCTGCATTCAATATTTTGGATAGGAAACTTGAAGAGAGATGGTGAATTGTACACTATTGCTAGGCAACAACTTAGTTCAATGAAATATTATAGTTTGACCCCATTTTCAACATTGTGATACATATATCTATAGACATGAAGAGAGTCTGTAATAGAAAAAGGTCAAAATGAACACAGTCTTTCTTTAAATCCATTCTCAAGCCCAGCCTTCGCATGGAAGCCCAGACCTTCAATCATCGCCATCGCCTATCCCAGTGATCGGCAAACTGCGGCTCGTGAGCCACATGCGGCTCTTTTGCCCCTTGAGTGTGGCTCTTCCACAAAATACTGACTTCTGCGCATGGGCCACAAAGTTTCAATCGCACTGTATGTGCGCGCCCACATGTGGTATTTTGTGGAAGAGCCATACTCAAGGGGCCAAAGAGCCACATGTGGCTCGTGAGCCGCAGTTTGCCGACCACTGGCCTATCCCATCATCCAAGACTAGCTTTCCTTAAATGTGGTAGCATTTACAAACATAAAGCAGGTGCCTTATTTTACAACCAGGAAGCTTTGTCACAAATATTTTCTCAATACAGAAATGTAATGTTTTGTGGGAAATGTTTTTATCATTTTGATGAAATGCTATAAAGCATGATCTATTTTAATGTTTAGAAACAAAACATCATTCTCCGTACCAGTTAATTCAATCTCAAAATCCTCACTGCAATCACACAGCTTAGACACTACCAGATATTCCACGATACAAGGTGAACACTGTTTCTTTGTCATTCTTATATTGTGAGATGAAAGGGGGGAAACCCACAAGTGGCTAAAATATAAGGGAGAGTACTTCAAGGACAAAGTTTAAACATGTTTTTAAAGTAAAAGGTAGATATTGGCTTGAATACAATAGAGAGTGGAATAAACATAATGAGAACTGTCACCATTTGCTAAAATTACAGTCCTCAAGATGTAACCCTACAAAATTAAACATTACTTGATATAAAGCAATTATGAAGTCTCTTTCAAAAAAACCAGGGTGAACTGTCACATATAGGACATAAAAACATTATTTTCAACATGGTGACCATTAGCAATTCAAAACAATGGACAAGAGTGGAAAAACCAAAGAATCACCATCAGGTAGCTAACAGCATCCTTGATTAATACTTTAGTATTTAAGAGGGTCTTTTCTGTAGAAACAACTGCTTCACCTGCTTAGGACTGTGTACCTTACAGACACTATGAAGAGTCCCCATTTGAGAGCCTGGACATCAAACTGTAACAAAAATGAGTATCAGTCCACGTGCGCACAGGTACTTACGGTCATTGCAGAGCGGGCCACTGAAGGAAGTCATGCTGCAGTCACAGCTGAAGCCATCCCACTGCTGCAGGCACACGCCTTGATTGGAACACGAGTCCTCTTGGCAGGTTGTGCTGGGCCCTGTTAACACAATCCAAAAGAAACTTGGTTTCCTATTTAAAAATCCCAAAGTGCTTTATATACGAGCTAGGTCACATATAGTAGTTGCCAACACCTCAAAGTATATGACCAAACCAGTTTTGAAAGTTCTAGTTCACACACCTGAATTAGAAACAGAGAAGCTGTAATATGAATGTTTTCTGAAGTTTCAAGTGCAGGACAAAATACATTATAATAGTAAATGAAAGCAACAAATAGTAAAAGCAAGCACAAAGCTTCCAGTATGATTAGGCATCATCCATAATTCTCTACCACCATTTGAATTTCAGAAAAGTGCATGGATCTCCTTAACTTCTCACAATGAATAGAGACACCATGAAAAATAGAGATTATAACTTCATGAAATTGAGATAACTGAAGAGAGGTATGCAAAAATGTCCTAGGTCTTCTAGAAGTTTCCCTGCACAAACTATGGATAAAGTTATGATTGTTGGGTGTTTCCGATAGGTATGTTGGCAAGTATCAATTCGCATGCTTTGACAATTTCATGCAATTAAACATAAAATGAATAACTGTATAAATGACATGCCCCATTTTAACATACAAGTAAAAAGAATGCTATTCTATTTCTAAAGAATCAGAACTAGAACACTGAAAAACAAAGAACTAAACGAAGGATGATAAAAGCACTAAAGGTAACCACTATACAAACATAGTCAAGACTGAAAGCCTTTATGCAAACTATGCTACAGAATGAGGTTTCTTGCACAATGTGCAAAAAAAGGAGAAAAATTAAATCTGAACCCAAACAACAGTTACTGCAAAAATGTTAAAAAAAATGTTATTTGGTGGTTTCCACTCGGTATTATGGGGTTTCAGTCTTGTTTTGTACACACAGGGCTATCTACCTTGCAAGTCAGCTTTCATCAATGCAACTTTGTCAGCAAAATAAAAAAAAAAGCAAAATATATTAAATGTTAGTAAGCAATACTGAAATGAGGCAAACACAGGAGAACGTTCAGATTCAGAAAGCATGCTGCTGTAAAAGGGGAGAGAAATGCTATGTAAAGCAAATAAATTCATACGAACAGCCATAAATCTTAAGCCAAAAATAAGAAAGTGGTAATTTATTAGAATTTTACTATATATGTGTGTGTGTGTGTACATATATAAAAAGATTAATTGAGCTGATGACATGAAATGAAGGAAAGTTACAAGGGCTTCTGTAGCTTTTCCTCTCTTGGACAGATATAAGCACATTACCGAAGGGACTGACTGCATTGTAGAACCTCAATACTAAGAACTAACTTAGGGAAGATTGAAAATGGAATACTAGCCAACTAAATAACTATAGAATAAAACTGTAAAGTATTCCGTAGTAAACACAATTATATAATTTTTATGAAAATGTCAAAATAGACACCAGTAATTGGGGTAACTGCTTTAGTGAGTGAGAATTACCTAAAATTAGCCTTTATATAAGTTAATGTTTTTGTAAAATGTCCATTTTAACATGGTACTTACAATCAGATTTCTATTATGGTTTTCTTAAAGGTATTCTTCATAGAAAGTTATTAAATTTAGCATAACCCACGTGAATTCTCACAACCGTAATATTCTAAATACTAACTATATAATAACAATAATTTTGGCATAGTAGTAATAATAGTTACTATTAGTAACAATTGTTACTAATAATTATAATAATCTCACAGGTCTGAGAGACTAAATAGATGTAATAATTTTTCTCACCCATTGCATCAAATAACCAAGAACCACTGAATTATTTAGTTTTTTTTGTTCTTCTAATCTGTGAGAGGTAAGTGATCTGGTGATCTTTATCTCATGGTAGTAGAGACTGAAAATAGTGTTTGCTAAAAAAAAAAAAAAAATGAACAAACTCTTAAAGCAATAGTCCTTAGCACATTCCTTCTTGGGATAAGCATCGGGTCGAGGAGTGGTGCAAGCCCAGTGGCTGTTTGATCAAGGGATAGGTGCTCCCTTGCAGAAAAGAGCAGGAGCAAACACTGATGAAGGGCCAGATTTTCGTTTTTGCAAAAATGATCAGAAATACAATTACAAAATGATGCTGAACTCTAAAACTGGTAAAATTGCAACCCTAAAGAGTGATCTCCTCATATTGTGAAGCAGCAACTCAGGGTACCTGCCAAAATTTATGTAGGCATACAGACATGCTTTTATTACTTTTTTTTTTCATTATCACAACAGTCTTTTTATATTCCGGTATTACAAGAGAATGCATGCCTATGCCTGACAAGATACATTTTTCAAAATACTCACTTTCTAGAACAATGTTTAAACATTGGCAGGCATCTGGCCTGCAATTTATTTTTCCCTTTATATATCATGTCCCTTTATTTTTATCACACACAAAAATTAGAAACAAGCCACAAGGACATTTGTATTAAGTGGTTAAAAGATAAGGACATGTCTGAAAAGAAAAGAAAAGGAAAGTGAAGGTAAAACTACAATCTCTGGAAACCAAAGAGACAATAGCTGAAAGTGGCTAGATGTCTGAGCTTTACGTAAGGTAAACTTGGGTTCAAAGCTTCCATCATCCACTTACTAGCCCTGTGACCTCAGAAAGGTCACCTCCCAACTCTGAGGCTTGATCTACTTATCTAAAAAAGTCTGTAATACCTAGTTTATATAGTTTTGAGGAGTAAATAAAATAGCATATGTGAACTTAATGTGACCAGTGCTCAATGGTAGCTTTAATAATTATTTCTGTCACTTAAAAATGCATTTTGGGGCTGAGTGTTAGGAGTCTATGCAAAGAGTATCTAAGTTAAAAAAAAAATCACTGACTTCACATATGAAAGTTAACTGGACTCAATACTGAGCTGAACTGAGCCTGGTTACCAGTTCACCTTGCCTTTTATGTAAGCAGGGCAATGCCATCTCAAGCAGTAGAATTCAAAGTGTAGTTCTCAGACCAATAGCATCAGCTTCATTTAGGACCTTGTTATCAATGTAAATTCTTGGGCCCCATCCTGGACCGACTGAGTCAGAATCCCTGGGGGTGGTGTCCAGTAATTGGGTCTTAACAATTATACGGGCATTTCTAACACTGGCTAAAGTTGGAGAAAGATTCATCCTCAAGGAATGTGCAAGCTCCCTCCCCTAGCTAATACGCGGTATAAATAACATGAGCTCTTACCAACTAAGATTAGTTAGAAATGAAAAGCAGCAAATGAATATTTAGGGAAGTCCAAAAACTTCTTACATAAAAGGGGCGTAGAGATTTTTAGGTCCTTTTGGGTAGGAATGATAGAAAATACTGAAAAGATATTTAGTTATGTGAAATTTGTACTATTTCTATTAATATGAAAGTTAAGTGAGCCCAATGTGACTTGGACTCAAAATTCTTGAAACAATAATATCTAGAGAGAGAATTTAAGGAGTACTTAGAATATGATCACAAATCCTAAAAGCATGTAATTATTCCTATGACAGGTACATCTGAGATTCCTAGAAAACATATAGGATAGAAATAATCATAAATTAAAAGTTGTTAATATTGATGTTGGAATTAAAAAATGAGGAAAGTGTCAAGGCAGAAAGGCAGGGGTAAGGTAACATTCCAAGAAAAAAAAAAGAAAAATGAGGTAAAAGACGGTGAGAATTATTAAACCTCAGATATTAAAGCATCCTACATAAGGTAGGAAGGAATCATTGTTATCATCTACTGAATGAAGTTTATGGCTTTCCAAGAGGATATAAAATCCAGTCACCTTAACCAACTTGCCCACTAGATTATGTTGGAAAATAACATGAAATATCATTTCTGCTAATATTCTTTCTCAATACATCTTCCTCTCATATCATGTGCCAGTGGTGGGGGATCATGTGTGTTTTTGGTTTTCTATCTGGTATGTGTTTAGTTGTGAATGTGTCTGTCTGTCTTCTCTCACCATTTTTTTATGGATGAGATGTCACTTATCAAGCAATTGGTAGAAAGGCCTATTTTTGAAAAATATTTTCAGGATAGTTTGTAGTACTTTTTTTTTTATGTACTTATTCTCACAAATTAGACCATGTTCAAGAATTCAAGTTGTATCTCACATTCTTGTATCTATCCACTAGAAGGGAGTTATTCACTTAACAACTTTGTTTGCTTTGCTAAACTGGTAAAGGAGAAAACACAAGTTTCCCTTTGTTTTACAGAAAGTGTTACTCCAAAATTTGAAAGAAAGAAAATAAATGTGGTGATAACATTAAAACTCAATTTGACAGAGACGTCCATTAAATAGCCTTACCCTTCGGCAGGGTTAAAATACAGTTTGAATTTCATCTGACTTTTCAGGGAAATATATGTTGCAGAGAGAAAAAATATATTTTCAAATAAAAAAAAATCCCACGTGCTTAGGTAATTGCTAAGTCTAATGGCATTATTTGGGCTGAGAGAAAATGATTCATAATCTCCCAGGGGATAGGAATTCACATTTCTTTCTTTGCTTCTCCCATGGAAAATTTCCTTATGAATTTAAAGTTTTCAAAATGGCCCAAACTGTGTTCAACATTAAAGGAGAAGCAGCAACACATTCAGAACCACAAAATTCAAGATAATGTGATTAAATTACATTTATGGAGGGAGAATTGGCTCAAATAATCTGAGGTGTTGAAGTGAAAATTTTCTAAAATGGAAGTAGCAATCAAAAAGTACTCCTACAGATCTTAGTCTGATAGAAAGCACAAAAGAACAGGAAGATTCTTGAACACATTTCTGAAGTAGGGAATACTAGTCTTGAGTAGTAGGAGAAACCAATTTTTGCTAAAACAAACTGATAATATATATACTCATGCTGCTGGCTAGATACAAATCAAAAAGTAATTTGAGAATGGTATCTAAACTTTATTCTCTTGTTATATCCTATTGAATGTATATTTCAAACAACAGGCTCAAACTGATTAACACTTGCTGGAATAAATATATTTTTCCTCTCTAAATGGGATGTCTATTTAATGTTATAAAGCAAGCACTGCAGAACCGATTAACACACAAACTATGTAAACTATAGAATGCAAAGAAGCAGAATATAACAAGAACCATGGATATAGCTCCTGTTTGACATCAGGCATAGTGTAGGCCTGCAAACAGTCCAGAAAAATTAAGATTTATGGGTTGAAAGGTTAAAAACATGAATAAGGATTTCTAAGCCCTCAGTGGGGGGTTGACCAGTTGGCAGAAATGAATTTTGCTGGCTAGAGAGATCTGTTCTCATTTACAGGTAGAATTGGAATTATTAGAGTGTGACATAACAAAATCTAGTACCTTCGCATCCTCTCTCGATCTGTCCATTGCAGAAAAGGGCATCTGAGATGAGGTCTGGAAGCCGTCCATTTAGATCGACTGATGCCAGGCAGCCTTGAAAGCCCTCCTTGGCATGGACAAGTTTCGGCAAGGACTTGTATGTTTCTTTCGCCACTCCTCCTATATACAAGTCACCTGTGGAAAGATCAAAGTTTTGGTCACAAAAGGAACTTGTCCTTGACTTTAAACATACAATAGGACAGGAAAAAAATATAGTGAGGTTTACGTTTCATTAAATTAATAAAAGCGAGCTAATTTTAACACTAGTCATTTTCCTAAAAGCACAAACCAACAGAATGCACTGAGTGCCATACAGTGTGGCCAAGTGGGAGGAACATGGGCCAAGTGGTTACATGTTCCTACATTGAAATCTGAGCCCCATTATTTCCAACTCTGTAACTTTAACAATTTTTTGTTTTTTTTTTTTTTGTTTTTCTGATCATTACTAGTCTCATTTCTGAAACAGAAATAAAACCTACGGTTATGTGAGGATTAACTGAGAGAAAATATAAGAAGTATCCATCATAGTGAAAATATGTAATAGACAGTCAATAGGTGTTATTATCAAACCTACTTTCTGCTTAGAGAAGTCTGGGTTTTCAGTTAATCAGAAGTTCAACAAATTTTCTCTAGGGTCCAAAATTACTTTTTCTACTATGCTTAAGCCCATTATCCTTGCCTGTACCTATTTTATTCACTAACTCACTCCCACAATAGTCTGGATATATACCTGAATTTTTTTGTCCTTTTTCAGGTTATTTATTATTATTATTATTATTATTATTATTATTATTTACAGTTATACCACTTTGAATTCTTTATGCTACACTAGGATCTGTTAACAAGCTGTCAATTTTCCCCAAAAATTTTATTGCAGTTTCTAATGCAGCACTTTGCTCTACTTTGTCATCTTCATGTGTCTAGGTTTATGGGCCACTACTTTAAAAAATAAACTGCAATTTATGTTTGATTCTGTTTCCTTTCCTATCATAGATTATTCACCATATCTAAATGGCATTGAGTAGATGTAATTTATGGACTTTGGTTCATTAAACACTTCATCAGTGCAGAACATAAGGAGGGTGACCCCCAAATACCATAATACATTGCCCCTGTCTACAAGTCCTGATGAACATACTCTTTTTAGCTACTTCTGACTTTTGTCATTTGAATTTTCTCTCACATTAACCATTCTCACTTTCATGCCACTTGATACCTTTTCCCCATTTTAACACTAATCCCTTGCACTACTCATGCTTACTGGGACCCCCCTGTGTTGTCTTCATGGGACTTGGGAACAAGGAGAACCGATACACATGCTGTTTGTTTAGTCATGAGTAATAACGTCCTAGGCCTCTGACCCAGAAACCTTATGTATTCTGCCAGCATCTGTGAACCAGTAATAAGCTAACCGATTAGCTTGTAGGTAGGGTAAAAATCAATCCACAGATATAACACTCTTGAATTACACTGATGAGTACATTGAGCTTGCTGAAAGTCATTTACCCATAAAAACTGAGACTTCGGTCCTTGACCTACTAACTAAGGCTCTAAGTATTACACTGGAATATCATTAATCCTGCATAATTTGCACAGAAGGTACTGGATATTTTGACTTCCTCCACCTCTAAAGAACATAAACATCTATTGACTATTAACTACTAATATTAAAAGGTGGCGTGTTGTTGGTCTGAGCTGGAATACTATTTTTGAAATAATTTGATTTTTTTCTACACATTTCCTTTTTCTCCTTAGACTTTCCTCTCTTACACTTCAAGCCATTGTGTTTTAGATGCCTCAGAGAAGCGAAATGAATCATAAACTAAACTTACAAATTATCTTTCTATATGTGAGTCTTAAAAGCCAAGACTTTTAGAGGATTAAAGTAGAATATACAGGCAATTACATAAGAAGAGCAAAGCTTTCCTGCCTCTCCTGTGGGCAAGCAGGAGAGAAAGTTGGAGAAGACATGTGAGCTCAGTCATTGGTGAATGACAAAAAGAAGACATTGTGCTCTGACTTGAGGGGGAGCCGTGGGGGATGCTAAAACCTCAGGTAGGCTTACGGGGGTGATATTGATCTGTGTGCATTTCCCCAAGAGAACTCAGAAGCGACAGTGAGAACCTTGAGAAGAAATGGCTGCATGGTAAATTTGGACATGCTGAAAGTTTAGGCAGACTCACAGAACTTCCCATAGTCTACTGTGGTGGAGGAGCAACAGAACAATTCCCTGAGTGGCACAAAAAAATAAGCAGAAAATGACTGACCTGAAGGGGTTATGCATACAAGAATGAAGGTGCTGGGTAGCAATTCATTGAGCATCTGAGCTATGAATACAGAATATCCAAGAGCAGCTCCTATGCAATCTCTCTCTACATCCCCCAAATTGGTACCCTGGGAAATCCCTAACCCCACTTAATTTAGACACAATCCCAGGGAAATAAGAAAACTAAAATTGCCTGAGATGATATTTTCACTAACTCAACAAATCAGAGCTCAATGTAGAAACCAAGGTGAGTTATAGAAGAATAGATATAGATTTCTTGCACATCTGAGATTGTGGGCTGAGAGTCATACTGTTACATGCCAAATGTCAAGGCAGGAAAATGCTCCCTACACTAGTTTATTAAACTAAAATTGTTAGGAAATTCCAGCTCTCCTCTAGAACTAATAAATGTAGTATTAGGAACAGTGGGTGTTAAATAAAGAATTCTTAGCACTGCTTCACATATAGAACTCAGTACTGAAAGTTAGGTAGGGAACACTATATTTGATAAACAATCTTGTCCTTTGTGATGATAACCTCCTGGAGGAGAGAGACTGTGTCTTTGTTTTACATTCTCCCACAGTGCCTAGTACCAGGCTATATAGCACAGTGGGCACTCAATAAATATTGAGGTCACAGTAGAAAAGAAGAAAGAAGAATGGTAAGGCAACACATGGGGAGAGCACTAATTCTAAAATGCATTGACTTCCTTTCCCCACTTCCTGCCACAATCCCATTTTTTTTTCTATTAGCAAACTTATTTGTTGAACAACTTTTTAAAGTGTATTAAAGAAAAGTAGTAAGCTTTCCCTTGTGCTATTAAAGAGCAGAAACGATCGATTCAAGCTGTGCAGGATACAAGCCTCAAACACACCAAGGTGGATGGGTCTGGCGTTGTAAGTAGGGGCATCATTTTCATTACAGAAGCTGCACTTAGTACCACCACTTAACATGGTCCTTATAAACTCTTCATACAACAGACAGTGGTCTAAGGTCCCCTGTTGGGTTGCCATATGAAGAGAACAAAGAAAACCCTTAAGTGGCCTGAGACCTGCGCAGCATTAGCACTTCATCAAAGATGCAGCTTCTCCTTTTGATCCTTGGGGTGCTAGCAAGAAAATGACCCATTAGCACTAATGGGATCTCCCAGGCAACAACCTGAGCATGGGAAGGAGGGTATGCCTTTTAATGACCCTTGTGTGAAGGAGAGCCAGGATGGACATCCTCTAAGAGCCAGTTTCCTCTAGACTTGAAACCATCGTGTTGCCCCTTCTTCAAGCTATGAGTGCTTTTTATTCAGACCCTTTAAGCAGACCATGTATGCAATTGACAAGGCAACAACGGAATTGGGATATTTTTCACAGAAGATGCAGAGAACATGTACAAAGCCACATAATCTCAAAACATCTGTTGTTGTTTTTTAATCTCAAGAATACCCTTATCTTTAGCACAAGTGCATATATATGTATGTGAATATCACAGGTATCCATTCCCTAGTAGCTGGGCAGTAGTGAGTAGTAGGGAATAGTGCACAAGCTTTTAAGTTATATATGGCTACAAATCCTGGCTCTGCCACTTATTGTTGTCTCAGTGTAGGCACGTTGTTACATAACTTCTTTAAGAGTCAGATTCTTCACCAGTGGAATGGGTTAACAATGCCCACCTGTGAGGATTATAAGGAATGTGTGTGAGCACTGGGGTAGAGCACACACTCAGCCCATCACTGCTACTGGTGTGGTTATGTGGACATGTCTGGTAAGGATGATGCATCTATAGTGTATCTCATTCTATGTTGATTGCACTGAGAGAGACAGAAGAGCGAGTCCAGGTAGTGCCCTTGTTTCTCGTGTAATGGAGTATCAAGGTGTCAAGCGTACACGTTTTATTTTACTTGATTCAGTTTTCAGTCATTTGTATCCTAGAACTGTGTCTTACACTACACTATGGGCAGCTCAAGAGGCTCTGCTGACATACTCAGAACCTCTTAAGCTGCCACATATTACCAGCATTGAACCTGGTAACATAAACCGGACAGTTGCTTGATAAATATCTCCTAATTTGATAAAAACAGATTAAGGGACACAAAAATGCAAGGGTCAGGTTGTAAGGTTCATGCTGAATGGGCCTATGGACTTGGATGGTGAGGTGGAGCTTTCTGGAGAATTTAGACCAGAAGGAAATATGGGACACATGATGTTGTAATGACATATATATAGGTTGCAGGCATGGAAACCAGCACAGGTTTACCATGGAGATAAAATGAATACAGCATTCAAAAAAGAGCATAAAAGGCCAGACTTGGCCAGAAGAGAGAATTTTTCAAAGGGGCACTGGTAAATAGTGTTTGATAAGTCAACTCAAAAGAAGGGCAATTGTAGCACAATAGAATATATGACTACTGGTTGAAAAACGAAAGCTGAACAACAACAAAAAGGTAAGTCCCCAAATAGAAGCCATGCAGGCTAGGAAACAAGGGATCATGAAGCAGTAATAATTTGGAAAGAAGAGATGAAACTAATTTAACATTGCCCACCTGGAATTTGAGTAGGAATGCCCTATTGACATGAGATGATGTAAACTGGGAGCTTAGGGAAAAGATGGTGGGGCTGTGAGGCATGGCTTGGGAGCCCTCAACCAAAAGCAGATGAAGTGGTGTAAGAGGTTTTCTCTTCTCTTAAAACAGGGGGCATAGGCAATTAGAGCGAGGGCTCCGAGGTCCTCCTTGCAGCGGCAGGATGCAAGTATCAGGGTATAATTAGTTCTTTGACTCAGCTTTCCTGTTTATTCACATGGATTTTTGGTGCCTCTTAAACATCTCGCTTTCATTCTAATTTAAAAAACAGCATATTTATAAAGGACATCTGCTTTG